TTCTGTACTGTGTCCACGTCTCTGGTCTTCTCCGGTTACCGTGTCCGCAGTCTCTGGTCTCTCCTGTACTATGTCCGCAGGTCTCTGGTCATCTCCTGTACTGTGTCCGCAGTCTCTGACCCTCTCCTGTCGCAGTAATTCTCTGGCTCCCGGGTGGTTGATGTCACATTTACAGGACCCCTCATATCTAGTAATATTTCCTGACTGAACTTCCATGCCTGCTCCCTGCGGTTAGATGGTGGAATTTCTGGCACATGGAGGATAAGTCGGTGTAAAATGATCTGTATATAGATTCGTTCTCTGGACGCCGTCCTGTCCTTCTATTCTGTGGTTTTCCATGGACACGCATGTCCGCAGACGCACTCTGGACGCCGTCCTGTTCTTTTACTCTGTGGTTTCCATGGGACACGCATGTCCGCAGACGCAGGTATATTTGTTTTTCTGCGTTGCGGATTCGCACGTTCACGCAGAGCTGTGTGAATGTCGCCACTGAAAACAATGCAGCTGCGTTCAGATTCGTACATGGCTGGAATGAGGCCTAAAGGGGTCTACTGGTGGGAGTGGACTAGAAGCGGGACAACCCCTTGGGAGGAGTTAATGCAAATAGAAAATGCCTTGAGGGGCGGGTGTCAGTCTGGAGGAGTGGCTGTCTCTAGGCAGGATCATTTGCATAGGGAACGCCTACATGTGATGCTGAGCTTTTCCATGATTGAAAGAACTAAAATCAAAAGGGGCGGGGCCCAAGAACAGTTAGGCGTGAGGGAGGAGAGGGCTAGATGATGCTGGACGTCCTCCAGCAAGGGAAACGGGGCGGAGCGCTCTCTGACACTGGCTGCAGGCTTCTAATGCACATTGTGAGAAGCTCCCAGTGTGCGGTGACATCAGGAAGCCATTCCAGTCCAGGGGAGGAGCCAGTACACCTGTGCAAGACTGAAGGGGAGAAGCCGGGACACCTGTGCACGACTGAAGGGGAGGAGCCGGGACACCTGTGCACGACTGAAGGGGAGGAGCCGGGACACCTGTGCACGACTGAAGGGGTAGAGCCGGGACACCTGTGCACGACTGAAGGGAGGAGCCGGGACACCTGTGCATGACTGAAGGGGAGGAGCCGGGACACCTGTGCACGACTGAAGGGGAGGAGCCGGGACACCTGTGCACGACTGAAGGGGAGGTGCCGGGTCACCTGTGCACGACTGAAGGGGTGGAGCCGGGACACCTGTGCACGACTGAAGGGGGAGGAGCCGGGACACCTGTGCACGACTGAAGGGGAGGAGCCGGGACACCTGTGCAAGACTGAAGGGGAGGAGCTGGGACAACTGTGCAAGACTAAAGGGGAGGAGCCGGGACACCTGTGCAAGACTAAAGGGGAGGAGCGGGATACCTGTGCAGGACTGAAGGGGAGGAGCTGGGACACCTGTGCAGGACTGAAGGGGAGGAGACGGTACACCTGTGCAAGACTGAAGGGGAGGAGCTGGTACACCTGTTCAGGACTGATGGGGCCCAGCGCGGACTTTTGTCACATTCGCCCAGCTCGGACCCTTGTCACATTCGCCCAGCGCGGACCGCTTCTCACATTCGCGGCCAGCGCGGACCCTTGTCACATTCGCCCAGCGCGGACCCTTGTCACATTCGCCCAGCGCGGACCCTTGTCACATTCGCCCAGCGCGGACCCTTGTCACATTCGCCCAGCCCGGACCGCTTCTCACATTCGCCCAGCCCGGACCCTTGTCAAATTCGCCCAGCTCGGACCCTTGTCACATTCGCCCAGCCCGGACCGCTTCTCACATTCGCCCAGCCCGGACCCTTGTCACATTCGCCCAGCGCGGACCCTTGTCACATTCGCCCAGCTCGGACCCTTGTCACATTCGCCCAGCGCGGACCCTTGTCACATTCGCCCAGCCCGGACCGCTTCTCACATTCGCCCAGCCCGGACCCTTGTCAAATTTGCCCAGCTCGGACCCTTGTCACATTCGCCCAGCCCGGACCGCTTCTCACATTCGCCCAGCCCGGACCCTTGTCACATTCGCGACCAGCTCGGGACCCTTGTCACATTCGCCCAGCTCGGACCCATGTCACATTCGCCCAGCTCGGACCCTTGTCACATTCGCCCAGCGCGGACCCTTGTCACATTCGCCCAGCGCGGACCCTTGTCACATTCACCCAGCGCGGACCCTTGTCACATTCGCCCAGCGCGGACCCTTGACACATTCGCCCAGCACAGAACCTTGACACATTCGCCCAGCTAGTGTTGCAGAACCGCCCCCCCCAGTCTGAGTCCACAAGTACGGGGCCCCGGGGCACAGATGAAGGATACACGTGCTGCTCTCTGTGCTGGTATTGGTTGCTCAGCGCCTCCTCCAGGGCTCCGGGGGTCATTATCAGGAAGCAGTAGGCATGTCTCTGTAGGACCTCCTGCACCTTCTGCACGCTGCAGCCCCAGTAGCAGGTCAGGGTGCTCTCTTCCAGGCAATGAGGCCGGAACGTCACTCCCGCTGCAGACAAAACAAACAAAACTTTATCTGTAAGCTGCCGTTTACACCGCAGCGACTGTCTGCCGCTCCCATAAGCTGAGATTCTGTAGGACTGCAAAACTCCAGGCAATGCAAGCAGTGTGAGTCCCTGAATGGGACCCCGGTGTCAGCCTCTTGTAGTGTCTGTACAGCAGAGCTGGAGCGTGAGAGGAAGAAGCAGCACAGGGAGCCAAACAGTTCATGTGCTAATGAGAGGCATGCTGGTGGGAGGAGAGAGCAGAGTGATGAGCTCATCACTGCGCTGCTTCTTCTATCACTGTTCAGTCACAGGCTGGGGGAGGTCCAGGATGACCTGGGCTCAGAGGAAGCGGCTTGTATAATGCTGGTAATTATTCTAATGGGAGTTATTTCATGTTGAAGAAATCTCCAGCTGGTTGTGTGCCGGGTAACTGCCCCTCCCCCAGGATTGCTAATCAGCATACAGCACTGCAGGGATTGGTGGAGGACACTGAATGGAGGCCAGTGGAGGGATTGGCAGAGAGGGGTGGAGGGCACTGAGTGGAGGCCAGTGGAGGGATTGGCAGAGAGGGGTGGAGGACACTGAGTGGAGGCCAGTGGAGGGATTGGTAGGGAGGGGTGGAGGACACTGAGTGGAGGCCAGTGGAGGGATTGGCAGAGAGGGGTGGAGGACACTGAGTGGAGGCCAGTGGAGGGATTGGCAGAGAGGGGTGGAGGACACTGATTGGAAGACACTGATCTGGATGAAGTCCCCATTTGGTCCCTCACATGTGATGTTGGCGGTGTCGGGGTTCACAATCTCCAGTCCGAAGGGATTCTTTACTTGCACCATCCGCTTCCTGGAAAGTAAAGTATTGGAGGCGGAGTCATCGGAATTCCTCAGGATGACGGGGACGTCCACACCGAACCTGGGCGGAGCAATAGTTAAAGAACACTCAGACTTTCAGGCTGAAATGAAAGAAAAGTCTGTATAAAGTTTGTTTTATGTGATGGAACATAAAGGGGTCCATGTATGACATGACATCATCGGCTCCGCTGTCGGGGGCAGGCCGGGATTATTTACTAACAGATTTATTTCCTGTGATTGCCGGCTCCATCTAGTGGCCATAATGTTGTATTTTCCTGTTTGTAGGGAAAAGAGGGAAGGGAAGAGGATGGGGAAGGAAAAGGAAAACAGGAGAGAAGAGGAAGATAAAGGGAGGTAAGGCAGGAAGGGAGGAAGGAAGGGAAGAAAGGAAGGAAAGGGAAGGGAAGGGAAGAAAGGGAGGAAGGGAAGAAAGGGAGGGAGGAAAGGGAAGGGAAGAAAGGGAGGGAGGAAAGGGAAGGGAAGAAAGGGAAGGGAAGAAAGGGAGAGGGAGGAAAGGGAAGGGAAGAAAGGGAAGAAGGGAAGGGAAGGGAGGGAAGAAAGGTAGGAAAGGGGAGAAAGGGAAAGGGGAAAAAGGGAAGGGAAGGAAGAAATGAAGGGAGGGAAGAGAAGAGAAGAAAGGGGAGGGAAGAAAGGGAAGGGAAGAAAGGGAGGAGGAAAGGGAAGAAAGGGAAGAAAGGGAGGGAGGAAAGGGAAGAAAGGGAGGGAAGAAAGGGAGGGAGGAAAGGGGAGGGAAGAAAGGGAGGGAGGAAAGGGAGGGAGGAAAGGGAAGAAAGGGAGGGAGGAAAGGGAAGAAAGGGAGGGAAGAAAGGGAGGGAAGAAAGGGAAGGGAAGAAAGGGGAAGGGAGGGAAGGGAAGGGAAGGAAGGGAAGAAGGGAAGGGAAGAAAGGGAAGGGAAGAAGGGAAAGGTAGGAAAGGGGAGAAAGGGAGGGGGAGGAAAGGGAAGAAAGGGAGGGAAGAAAGGGAGGGAAAAGGGAAGGGAAGAAAGGGAAGGGAAGAAAGGGAAGGAAGGGAAGAAGGGAAGGGAAGAAAGGGAAGGGAAGAAGGAAAGGTAGGAAAGGGGAGAAAGGGAAGGGGAGAAAGGGAAGGGGGAGAAAGGGAAGGGGAGGAAGAAATGAAGGGAGGGAAGAGAAGAGAAGAAAGGGGAGGGAAGAAGGGAAGGGAGGGAAGAGAAGAGAAGAAAGAAAGGGAGGGAAGGAGAAGAAGGGAGGGAAGGGAAGAATGGAAGGGAAGGGAAGAAAGGAAAGGAAGGAAGGAAGGGAGGGAAGGGAAGAAAGGGAAGGGAAGAAAGAAAGGTAGGAAAGGGGAGAAAGGGAAGAAAGAAAGGTAGGAAAGGGGAGAAAGGGAAGGAAAGAAAGGGAAGGGAAGGAAGGGAAAGGGAAGAAAGGGAAGGGAAGAAAGGGAAGGGGAGAAAGAAAGGGAAGGGGAGAAAAGAAAGGGAAGGGGAGAAAGGGAAGGGAAGGGAAGAGAAAGGGAAGGGAAGAAAGGGAAGAAAGGGAAAGGGAAGAAAGGGAAGGGAAGAAAGGGAGGGAAGAAAGAAAGGGAGGGAAGGAAAGAAAGGAAGGGAAGGAAGAAGAAATTAAGGGGAGAAGAGGGATAGAAAGGGAAAGGAATGAAGGGAATAGGACTGGGAAGGAAGTAGGAAGAAGAAAAAGGAAAGGAGGAAGAAGAGAAGAGGAAGGAACTGAGGAAGGAAGTCCTCCCAGTGGGATCTGTACACATTGTATGTAGACAGAGGATGGCTCTCAGGTCTCAATTTGACACCAGGCTGACTCCTGGTAAACACGGTCAGTTCGGATTTCTGGAGCCTGTGGGAGAAGCAGCAGCTGGAAGCGGCACTCACCAGCCCAGCACCAGGCCGCAGGTGACCAGGAAGCAGACGACGACCACCGCGATGTAGAAGTGCGGGGAATAGCCGTACAATGTACTCAGCACTGTGGCCGGCATCGCCGCTTCGCTCTCCCCGGATCTCTCGGCCTCCGTACCCGGAGCTGTCATCTCCATGGCTCCGCTGATTGGTCGGTTCCGCAGCTCCATGCCGGATCACATGACTGTGTCGCTGAGCGCTCTGCCGCCATTTTGGTTTCTGGAAAGACCGAGCATAGACAAGAATAAATTAGTATGACCCCACGAACAAAGTTTTTATTCATTTTTCAAGAACGACGCCCCGGGACATCCATCTTTGGATCCCTTCTAGTCGGTTTCTACACAGAGGTAGATTTGGGAGTCGCCCGTTTCAAAGATGGCGTCACTGACACTAAAAGGCAAGCGTCGCCTCTCTTGACTACACTTGAACTCCTGTTTCGTATTTATAAAATCTCTCCTCAACGGAGATCGGAAGCGAATCCTCCAAAAGATCTGCTCCGGCAGCCCTCAGGATGGTTCCAGTTGACAGACCCAACTCTGCCCTGTTTAAAGATGGCCGCCGGCCTGGGTTGAGTAGGCGCGGCTCCGCCCACTGATGCGGGCTCTACCCTCTGGTTGGCCGGGGTGCGAGTCACATGACGTCCCCCCTTGCTACCTCCCTCGCACCGGGTGTTGGCTGAGGAGTCAGGCGGCGAGCAGAGCCGAAGGATCGTCAGCGAAGATGGTGAGTGTGGGGGGAGGAGGAAGGGGTCACCCCGCGCAGTGTTCCCGCCCCCCGGAGGGCTGAGAGCCTCTCCCCGGTATCATCCCTGTCACCAACCCCCCCCCCCCGGGGGGGGAACCTCTCCATCTGCCGGGTGTAGTGCCCAATACCGGCCTGCAGGGGGCAGCACAGCAATGGGGGGAGGGGGACAGTCATTCCTCTCCATCATACCAATGTCTGTCCCCCCCCCATCATCAATGATTATCAATAATCCCTCCAATTTATAGTATACACCTTCTATTATACCTGGTGACGTCATCACCAGGCATCTGTGCTTCTCTATGCAATGCAGGCAGATAATGGATGGTAGGAGAGGCCAACAGAGACCGCGGACACGGTACAGGAGATGACCGGAGACTGCAGACATAGTACAGGAGATGACCGGAGACTGCAGACATAGTACAGGAGATGACCGGAGACTGCAGACATAGTACAGGAGATGACCAGAGACTGCGGACATAGTACAGGAGATGACCAGAGACTGCAGACACAGTACAGGAGACGACCAG